AGCAAGGGAAAATGCTTGCGAGCTTATTGGAGAAGCCATTCAAGAAGATCCAAATTAACAGACTCTTAGAAGAAAATAAAGACCAAAGAAAACTCGTTACAGAACCAGAAGAAGTCTTGAACAAAATACGTGAACACTTTCAGAAACAGTTCAGACCTCGTGATTTTGATCAGAATCTTTGGGAAAAGAACTGGAAATTTATCTATAAACCAAAGGAAGAAATACAAGAAAAGTGGTATAATGGTTTGGATCAGAGCATCACAGAAGAAGAATGGCATGATATACTAAGGAATCTGAAGAAAAATATAGCCTCAGGAGTTTCAGGAATCACTTATACATTAATCAAAGCAGCAAGTGTCTATGCGCAAAAGATTTTTTGTCTATTTGCACAAATCTGCATCCAATCAGACAAAGTTCTACTAAAATGGAAAATCTCGCAAATATACCTGATTCCTAAGGACACAAACTGGTGTTACAATTTAAATAATGCCAGACCAATTGTATTACTAGAGACATTTAGAAAGTGTGTTACTAAGATAATAACTAAGAGACTAGCACAAGTTTTAGCAGAAAGAAACATTTTAAAAGGTCCAAATTTTGCAGGTTTGCCTGGAAACTCGACAGAGGAACCAGTACAAATTATAAATGCAATAACGGAAGATGCAAAGGATAATAGAAAAGAATTGTGGCTAGTCCTACAAGATATGAAGAAGGCTTTCGATTCAGTATCTCTTAAGTCGTTAGAATTAGTGATGAGAAGACTCAAGATACCTCATATTACAATTAGGTTTATCATTAATCTATTTGAAAATAGACAATTAAAGATTATCACAGAGTTAGATACAACACAATGCTTTGAAATAAAGGACGGTATTGAGCAAGAAGAGGTGTTTTCACCACTAGTAGGACCCCGGACATTTCTAATACAGGTCATAATTGATCTACATAAATTTAAAGGATTTTGCTACCCCTAAAATCAAGTAAATTTGCTAAAAATTCAATTATTATATACAAATTTAGCCTAATTTGCTAAAAATTAAATTATTACATCTAGATTTATATAGGCCGTAACTAAGTGGTGCTATAAATTTGTATTTATACTAAGGAGACGTTTAAAGCAGAGACACTTATATTTTTTAATAATGTTCTCGATTATTTTAGGGTTAGGGTCATCCTATATTAGGTTAGGATAAGTTTTAGGTAGTTATTTATAAGCAAAATTGCCTTCCCGATATTTTTGATTAACCTACTCAGGTAGGTTTAGACTGCCGTATTTGTGTTTTTCAGGTTTTTAGTTTTTTGGTTTGCTTCGCCGGCAATCATCAAAATTCTATAATTTGATTGGCAGCTGATCACATGATTTGTCTCCGCTTTAGATGTCCCCTATACTAAGTCATAAGTAAAATATTGATACTCGATAATCTGGTAACTGAATAAAGAAATTCAATAATAATCATAATAATAATGCCAATATTGTTTTATATTATATATACCGATACTATCGATATATGATTTATTGAATCTTTTAAATAGCTCTTAAATTAAGCGTTCTTATGCTCACAGGCTAACTTAATTAACTACAATAGCAATCATTTGAATATAAATAAATTTTTAAAAAAATATATGTACTGAACAGAAGTTAATTTCTTGGTTTTCATATGACCGGCAAACCAGCTTTTTTTTTTAATTCGATATATACGATTTTTGCATAACTTGGTTATAAAAACTAATTAATTAATTTAGCATAGCCTAACGTTAATGATGAACACATACTGTTTAAGAAATCTTCAAAAAATCTTCAAAATCAATTGTTTCATCTTTGCCCATCAAAATTTCTAATCCAAAATTAGATAATGGTTGCATCTGAAATTATCAACATCATTAATGTATAAGACTTGTGGTTAGGGTTGTTAATGGAGTACTCCAGACTATAATAAAACATATAACCTGCTTCTGGAGTGCTTCGGAGTGGGTTATATGTTTTATTATTAACTAGAGCACTCCATTAACAACCCTACTTGTGGTAAATACTTAAAAAGGTTATTTACCTTGGATACAATACTTCGTTCCATGAGATGTCTTAGTGGAATATGAATACCGAAGAGTTTTCCTTGCATTGTAAGACTTAGTGTTTCTTCCCACTGTGATATAAATATTATTATCTAAATAAGCCTAGAATTTTTAACAATAAAATATTCCTAACTTGTATAGGTCTATTTTTAAGTAATTAACAGCTTTGACTCTACTAGAATTAACTTACCAAAGCGATCAATAAACCATTCCGATTCAGTTATTATTTGTTGATTAAATTGTATCGCTTTTTCTTCATTAAGCCTTTTAAAATTAAATTTTATTTTATTTGAAAATTTATCTTGAAACATTTCTTTTCCAATTATATCATGTCGTCGTGCACCTCCATATGTAGATGGTGTTCTATTAATATAAGAACTAATTTGTTCAGAATGTAACCCAGGGCAAGGTTTATTTGGTAGAGATAACAATGCTGGTGATAGGAATGAAGAAGGAGAATTTTTTTTTTTTTTTTTTTGGATTAGGCAAGACCGGGAAAAGTTCAGGTAAGCCAAGCTGCCTTTTCTCATTATTTACTTTACATCTTGAGTTTTTAGAATGTTTATTAAGCCTTGACTCATCATAATCGTTATCAAGAGTAATTTTTTGTCTATATACACAAAATACTGTGCTTTCATCAACAATAGCCCCACAAAACTTATTGCTAGCTAAGCGAGCTTGAGTATGTTTCCACTTCATTTATTAAAAAAAAGAGCTTAGCCGGGTTTTATTTTTTTTCACATCTGTAAAAAAGCCAGATTCTTAGCCAATTAAGCTAACATGCATGTATATACGTACAAAAGGGTCTACTAATCTTACTATTGGTTGTGCGCAGTGTTGTCAAATGTCTTGCATATTGGTAATTGTCACATCATTTTATTATATAATTTATTACATGACGTAATAAATAATATATTAAATAGATGCGATAATTACCAATATGCAAGTTATTTAATAATACTGGTCATGCGTAAATCACATTTCTGATTGAAAAAAAATCGCTTATTTTTGAACAGATAAGAAATCGTCTTTTGTGTACTAACTAAAAAAATTCCTTGCAAGTGACATATAATTTGTTGCAAATAATTCTAGACAATAGAAAAAATTAGTAAATCCCGTATGAAACCTGAATCACTTTATACGTAGAAAAAGTTCGACTGAGATAGCTAAATTTGTAATGGCTTATTTGGTATTTACAAAATGGTCGCTGTTATTCTTACTGATATTTATTCTCAATATGTACTAGTTTATGCATTATCTCTAGAGGGAACGTAATTTTTAATATAGTACTTATCCTCCCCAAAAAAGGGATAATTCGATAAAAAATAAATATGACGATACAAAAATCTGACCATTTTAACAAAACTAAAAATGAGACTATTATCCAAATTAACCTTAATTTGCTAAAATTTAAATTTAGATCTTTAACCAAATTTGGTCCAATTTGCTAAAAAAAAAATACGACCTGTATCATAGATGTCCGGGGTCCTCCACTAGTATAGAGAATCTTTTATGATCCACTCTTGTCAAGGATTAATGAAAACCCAAGTCTAGGATACACAGTATCTCAGCAGATCCCATATAACTATAGCTTGAACTACACGACCAAAAGAAAATAGAAGCAAGCAGTAGTTGCATATGCTGATGATACAACATGGATTGCAGAGAGTAAAGAACAAATGGAAAAGACAATACAGATTGCAGAGGAATTTTTTAAATTAAATGACATTCAAATAAATGGAAAAAAGTCTAAATTGATCATAGTCAATTCAAGAGAAAAAAGAGAAGATAGAAAGATTTTTTTCAGCAATGAGTGAATATTGGAAGAAGGAAGAAACAAAATTACAAGGTTTTTGGGGGTATGGCTTAATAACAATTTAGATGAAGCCTTGGTCAAAGCAAGAGCAAAAGAAATCGTACGATCAACAGCACGAATATTAAACTCTAAGAAACTTACAATAGCACAAGCGGTATATGTTAACAATATGTGTATAATTCCTAAACTGTGCTATATGTTGCAAGTGTCGAGATTCACAAGAAGACAATAAATAACCTCCAAACACCAATACTAATGCTAGCGAAGCAAAAAATAGAATTAGTAAGAACTGTAAATAATAGTACAATTTTGCACAGAAGTATTGGAGGCTGCGATGCATTATGGAATCAGCTGCTGATTAAGCAAGTCTCTGGTTTACACTGGCGACTAAACTCAGCAGGATCTGAAGAAATTTTGACATCAATGAGAATAAGCCAGGGAATGCAACTTCTTGGGGCAACTAAAAATACATGGTTTGAAGGACTGCCAAACACTTGCGGCCAACTTTGAAAAAATAACTTGGCTTGCCTAATACTCTTGAAAGCCAAAGAGTTAAATATTATGTTTAAGTTTAAAAGCACAAAACTCATAGGTGAAAACAAGAAGTTCAGAATAGCAAATATTCTTGGAAAGAAATTTACACCGCAAGTGGCAATAATGTTGAGAAAGCTTAATATTATATCGCTCAAACAACTGTTAACACATATCCCTTAAACCGTCAGTGGTTAGCGGGCATATTTGGCTGCTAAAATGTTAAAATTGTTATGTCTGATCTATTTTT